CAGGAATGCTTGGTTCTGGATCTTGATAAGTTAGATACTGAGCTACTCTACCCTATTAAGACTGGAGCAGTTCTGGACATGTTCAGAGACACCATTCCAGATGCCTTGAGAACTTCTAAGTCAAGCAGGAGACAGAGGTTATGGGCTTTCCAAGGTTAGGTGGCCAGTGAGGGTGGGCAGTGTTCAGAATTGTGATTCTGGATAAATACACCTAAATTCTTTCTGTGTTCCATTAATGCATCTGGTCCCGACACTGACTTCTTCTGACATAAGAATGTTGGCGCACTACCTGACATGACACAAGCACAGAAATGAGCCTTCTGTTTGAAGATAGCATCTGTGATAAGCTCTCTCTTTTTCTTTCTCTGTCTTTCTGTCTAAGGTAGAGTCTGAGATTGCTATGCAGTATGAACACAAAGACTCAACTCCACTTCTCCCAGGAATAAACATTCACACTTACGTTCTCTGTCTCGGTTGTCTTTTTCTCCTCTCCCAGCTAAAGTTTCCCAAATATTTTTATGGAGTGAACCACAATGGAATTCAGATATTAGTTCACAGATCACCTGTCTGTGTGTTCACGCTCTCTATAGACAACTTTCTCTCCCCTTTCTGATTACAGCATGCATCTATGCCCAAGCAAGAAAATAAATTAAGCTGTCTTTCAATTCAGTTTGGAAATCAGGAGTAGACCCCAGCACCATGAGATCAAACAAGTCTCCATGGGGCATAAACAAATGCTTCACAGATCAGGGCCTCTGGTCTGTGCTACCCATAGGAAGCCACCCACTAAGTATTTAGATAGAAGTAAAAGGGACACATCTCCAAAGTCATGTATTCTTCAGAGATGATTTTCCCATGCAGAAGTTTCTATTTCTAGCTTTTTCTGCATATGATGCAACTAGATTGCCAGAGCTGACCACTTTATTTCATTAGCACAGCTTCCAGAGATGGGTCACATCTCTATTCATCAAGGGCTGGGCCAAAGAATAAATTGTGCAAGTTATTTTGGGGATCCTTCAGACGTCCTGGTACATAAGTGTGGAAGTAGATATAAATAATTGTCACCTCCATTTTCTTTCCCTTCTCCCTTACCAACTCCTTTTGGCTCTTGCTTAGGTTCCTACAGGCGCAGCAGGCTGTCTCTGCACTCTTCCAGTGCTTCAAACCTCTCTTTTGCTGCTATTTCAATCCCCAGCAACCTCCCTTTGCTCCTGTAATATTCAAATGAAGTTTGCAAGGGAATACCCATACAGACCAGTTTGCCCTTCTGAAATATGTTCAGTCATTCTAGGCCTAGTGTTAATAATAAGCTGTTTTTCATTGCAGATTGACCAGCAATAACTGCTCATCTAAAGAGAGAAGAGAAGTACAGTTTCAAGAGGGTCAATCCTTGTGCACTCAGAACTCCCACTGTTGCTGATGGATGTACAAGAGATGCAGAATTCTGCCCTTAGTGAGAAAAAACAAAAGGGTGTTTAATATAGGGTTAGCATTTCAAAAAGAACCTGCTCAATCAAAAGATAGCATGGTATCTAACCACCATTAAAATGAGGGATAAATCATTTCTTGGCGAGATAAAAAATTAACAAATAAACTCTGAACAGAAGCTGTGGCCAATTAGATTGAAGTAGTTTTCTAAATTATGATTTGGGAGATGCAGAGCAGATGATGTATTATGTATGCTGAAGTATGGTTTGATAGCCTTCCCTTCTTGCTCCTAATTTCTTAAAGAAGATCAATTAACAATATATTTTAAGGGCTGTGGGCAATTCCTTGTGAAATTAATCCCAGAGGTTTCAGTAGGGATCCTGGTATAAGTGCTGCCAACAGAAGAAAAGCCTACATAAATGAGGCCTAAATGTTTAGGCAGAGTCAGGGGCAGGGGAGATCTGTTAATGTTACGGATCAGCCCTTTGAAATATGGGATTATCTGAAAAGGAGACAATGTTCTAGAAATGCAGGCAAACCACTCACTTGATCTGTCCATAAATCAAAGCAGTTTTCTGTAAAAGAAAACATATATAGTACCTTGTAAATTTTCCACGAGCAACATTTCATATAGATTCATTCTGGTCTATGCTCCATAATGAGAAAATTTATATTGTGTTCCCAAATTGAAATGCCCTGTTCCTAGATTGCGCATCTCATAAGGACACAAATAGCTAACTAAAGATGGAGTTACTATTGCACAACTGTGTCTTGCACAGAATGTCCCAGGCTAACAAGGGGTGTTATTTTAAGGTGGTACTCAAATTCATAGATCCATAGAGTTAGGGTAGGAAGGGACCTCAGTAGGTCATCGAGTCCGACCCCCTGCCCTGGGCAGGAAAAAGCACTGGGGTCAGACGACCCCAGCTAGGCGCATATCTAGCTTCCTCTTGAAGACCCCCAAGGTAGGGGAGAGCACCACCTCCCTTGAAAGGTGGTATTTAATTAGCCTTATAATTTTTAAATAAAATAGATTTTGTTTGAAATGTAATTGAATAAAAAATTGGGATGCATAATATAAAATCATGAGCTAGCTTCAAAACAGAAAAAAAATGTTCCTTGTGAAATGAAAAAAAAAAAGCTTTTTTCAAGCCCATATTTGTTATGCTGGAAATGGAAACAACTGTCAATTTTGATTGCAAAATATTTATAGAGCTGGACAAGAATAACATTCAGGGGTTACAAAAAATGAATATGGACCTGCCTTGTTTCAAAGTCTCCCTTCCTTAAGGCTATCTTCCGCATAAGGCCGTATCAACTAAACTGAATTGCAGTAAATCATACACCTCTTCATAGTATCCTTATTTAAAAAATAAATAAATGTAAAAGTTTGGCACCTGAGGATACCTGCATCATGAACGGGGGGAGTAAATACAGTGCGTATTTAGGGATTGACTCACACAGTTTATATATCTATACAGATCAAAATTCTTTTACTTCTATTCAAACTTTAAATTCCTTCCCTGCGTGTATTAAAAAGTGCCATGGCAGCATGAAGTGCACTAAAGCGTACTACTTTAATATAGGGAAAAAAATCAATTATCCTCTTGCTTCTTCTAGGAGCTGCTAAGAAACAAAGAAAGATCTGTTGGTTGTATCTCATTACATCTCCTTTGTGTTCATGTTTACTGTGTATTGCTTTGAAAGTCTTCTTTTGTCACAGTTTATAGCTGCACTCCATTGGCAGCTAAATAAAGTTAAAATCATTGCTTGTTAAAGATTAGCTAAACCACTTCTAAGCAGACGTCCAGATAGGTTTGGTTTTGTTCTGTAAATGAATTATGATCATGACACTCCCTTTCAGAAATAGGAATCACTCATCATAATCCAGACCCCTTTCTTAATATTCTAGTTTTTAAAGAAGCAAAGGAAAACCTTAGAGTGTTTTACCTGTTCCTTACAAGCAAAGATCATGGGAGCCCAAATAAATATTTTAACTGGCAATGTTGCTGTATGAATGCCCATAAAAATGTGTGAATTTCATTAGGGAACGCAGTTATGCCATAGCTCAGTAATGCTGCTAGAAAGAGAGTATTCACCTCAACAACTTGCCCTGATAAGGGAATTACAAAACAGTACTCCAGAAAATATTTTTTTGCTACTTCATTATTAGTTGGCAACATGGTGAAATAGTCAGGAAATCTTCCTCAAGTTTTGTTGCTGTGAAGGTGAATCCAATGTTAACAAACTGAATTTTTGATACTTAGAGAAGAGAATTTCACATAAACAAATTTGTACTCTTGAGAAGTCACTTGTTAAGCCCTCTGTATTGCAGTCACTCGCTGCAAAGCCTCCGCTTATTATTATCCACGCGTAGTGTATCGGGTACACAATATGCTTCAGCAAAAAGTTTGGTAGTTACAGAACATACATTACTGCCTCTTGAGATCTTCATAGAAAAAGAAAAGAAAGCCTGGCATTTTGGTCCCAGATTTTGAGTCTGTTAGAAAATGTACATTCAACGTTTGGTCTTCTGTTCTTGATAAAAGATCAAGGTTCACTTCTGGGTATGGAATCAGAGTAAACAAACAAAACATTGTACAGTTGCTTACAATCTACCTTTTTCATATATTTTACACATGGTTCGTTGTTATACTAAAGCAAAGCACTTGGTATGTAACTGATTTAACAGACTCCTTTTAAGCCCTCAGAAATAGATGCAGTGTTTCTTAAAAGCCCATGTTTTTTAAGGCCACGAATATCTGCCACAAATACATTGTTGTCTTTAAAATCATACGTCTGATGTTTCCATTTCAAATTATTCTGTTTCTCCTACTCTGTTCTTCACAAGATGACCCAACGCTTGTCATTGTACCGGTGTAAGCACGGGAGATCTTGAAGGCTTGGACGTCCCCTTTCTATCTGCTCATAGCTGTTGAGATCCAGGGTTGTCTTGAACTACATTCACAGCGAAGAAGAACTTTGAGTGTAATCTCTGATGATAAGCGTGTCATACTTCGGGGAGGAAGGGATACAGAGAGCTGATTCAGACACCGGAGAGCTGGGAGATGCGCTCCCTGAATCAATGGAATCTCTAAAAGGGGAAGGAGGAGTTAAAGCTACCAATTCCTCAAGATCTTGCTTTGCCGGTGGTGGGGCCTCTGAAGTACCTTCCTTGATGCTGCCATTTGAAGGTTTCCTAGCTGACTGGGATGCACCATTGACTTCAATGGCAGGGAGTGGTTGGATCTCTGCAAATGTGGTCATTGTGGTAGGAAGCTGGATTTCCCTTGGAATCAAGTATGAAGAACAGAGAGGAGTGGCCACCATGGCCCCTGGTGTGGTGGTGGAAAGCATCATAGAGTTTAACTCGCTGATGTTGGCTGTGAAGCGTGTGACCACACTGCTGATCTGCTCCATCAGGGAACCTTGAGAGGAGCTGCTTCTCTGGGTATTCTCCGTCTGGAAAGTAGGGACATCGTCATCTGTTCGGCTAACGGAGGCAGTTCTGTGGCTTACCGTACTGACAGGTGAGGGGGTTTGTGGCCGGTACTGAGCTGGGTAATGCTCCTCTGCTTCTGAGACGTCATACAGCATTTTGGCACTGGTCTCGGGAATAGTGGTGCTGCTGCTATGTCGGCTACTATCTGTGCTTTTAGAAAAGGGCTTGATCACTGCAGTTTGGTTGGGATTCTCCTTTTTGTTGATGTGGATTGATAGCCTTTGCCAAAGGTGTGCTCCTCTACTGCTCTTCTCGTTCTGGGCCCACGAGACTGATTTCCCATTAGAGCTGTGAAGGCAAATGAGATCAGATTATGTCTTGCATTGAGGCAGTACTTATAGTCATGGAAGCTCACATTCTCTGTCTTACTGAATAATTGATGTGGGCGGCCTGTGTTCCAGCACACATATATCATGAGCCCTGTAAAGTTGATGGTAAAAAAGTGCGTGTGTGTGTGTATATGTATATATATATATGATCAAATAGAACATGAATTAATGCATGGCCTGATTAAGCAGAAGCAACACTGCGGCAACCTAATAAAACAATGCTCATCTTGCAATGTTTGTAACAGCCCAGTGACTTGGCTTCCCTTAACAAACAGATTCCTCAATCCCTTGTTCGTATCTGGAACACAGAGTGACTCTCCAGAATCCTAATTTCAGGCAGCCCTAGACTGGATTAAATTAAACTGCTGCCTGGTAACCTGGGACAACTAAAACCTAGCTTGCCCACATGAAATCTGAGTTTGTTGGAGAAGCTGCTGACCTGTCATTAAAAACGAAGGGTATTAGCTATCTAGTTTGCCTAACCAGAGGCTGAAAATAAAAACGGATCGACTGATTTATACATATCATGAAAGAACAGGAGAAATGAGGAGATGCCAGCCTGGTTCTGAAACCTGCTTTGTAGACTACTTGGAGTGATTCTGCTGGTTGTACCTCAGCTCGGGATTTCTCTGCTCTTCCCAAATGCAGCAGGAAACTTAAAACGGGTGGCATTTCCAGGAACCTGAGGTTGGTGGCTCATTTTCATTTTCAGCCTTAGATCAGATTTGTCACTCAGTTAATGCACCCAGGATGTTTAATTACAGGTCAGCTCAGAGGAACAGAGGCACCAACTCCATTATTCTAGAAATGTCCTGTCCCAATGGCAGTTTGAGTTTCAGTCCTTCTCTTCCATCCAAAAACAATTTCCTTACAGGAATTCCGCACCCCCCCAACACATTGTTGATCCATCTCCCCTTACTGTCTGTGGAAAGGACCCCTTATCAGTGAGCTGGTTGCAGATATCTCAAATGCATAGCATGACATTGCTCCTTTCACCTCTTCCTCTCCTTTCAAGTCAACTGGATTTTTGTTTGTGCATATACAAGATTCAGGCAACTCCACACATTCACCTGTGGCTCTCAGGATTAAGAAAGACCATTAGCAGTAGAACAAATTCTTCATGAAAATAGACATTGACCCCAAAAGGACAGCAACAGTAAGAACATAAGTCTTCACATACATAGTGACATACAGGCATAACTTGTATATGAAATGACAAAACTTTAAAGCCATTTATTGGGATTTCCAAGATGCTTGCAACAGTTTACATTTTTTTGTGGAAACACAAGCAGATTGAGATCCTGGCAGTGCATGGACAAGCTTAGACATGTTTTCTTTAAGCCCAAAGTGACTACTGCCTAATTTTTAGTATGCTATGTAACAGTTCATAAAATATAATCATACTAAAGCAACTGCACATAGTTGTTGATTTGCATTTGGTCAAAGGAGCCTTCACTGTCTCTTCCAGGGACCTTGAGTTGTGAACGTCTATGGTCACCTTCCAGGGAAATACAATGGGTCACGTGCCATGGCATCTTTCCTTACAAACAGGAGCATGATAGGTTTTAGGAGACGGACACTACCTAAACCACTGGCTTTTTGGAAGCAAACTAACTAAACTCTAAGATAACCCCTGCCATTGTGAGCAGGAGCCTGAGAAGATTTGTGCTTGACTGAAGGATGATTTCCTGCCCTTTACTGTCTGGGGAGAGGGAGACAAAAAGCACAAAGGTGGTTCTCAACCTTTTTGAACTCGAGGCCCCCTCCATAACTTTTGTGAATTCAGCAGCCCCCTATTTTAAAAACGAATTTATATATTACACTGCTTACCTCTGTACAGCAGGGCTGGCCAGTGAGGCTACAAGTGTGGCCAGGCCAGGAACAGCCCAAGTCAGTGCTTATCTTCTCACCCCTCACAGCACCCTTCAAAGGATTTGGTGGCACCCTGAGGTACCGTGGCACCCTGGTTGAGAATCACTGATCTAATCCTTAACTCTGATCATTCAGACTCTCCATAGTTTTGTTGCTCTGATGTGATCTGCCTCTTTAAATGTGCTAACTGAAACAATCTGTTCTGTGCGGGCGAAATCAGCACATGGCAGTGAAGGGACCAAAGGGAGGGAGTTAAGGGCTCTGAGGTTTCTACATTTTTCCCCTGCGTCATGCACAGGTGGAAAGCAGAGCCTCAGAGGCCTCTGCACTTCTCTGGGGAAGTCAGGAGGGAGATGGCAGGGAAGCTGGCAGAGCCTTGCCTTCTAGCCAAAGACTTTAGAGGTGAAGAGCCAGTTTGAGCCATTGTATAGTGGGGAGGACAGCAAATGAAGGAGTAGATAGCACCTGATAAAAGGCAGCAGCATACTATTTCTTCAGTGGAGCAAGTGGGAGTCCCATGCTCCCTCTGGGCTGACCCCCAACAATGCAGCCATGTGCTGCCTCTGACTCACAGGTAAGGTTATAAACTGGCCATAATTATGGCTGAGGAGGAGGCCACTGGCTACTTACTATAATTATCTGAGAAAGACCTGACTGGTTTGGTCCCCATTTATTCCAAGCCCCTTGTAAAATAATTTGAATTTAACATCTACCAATTTAATTGTGATCTATTCCACGCCATTCCCCCCACAAAAGACCGTCTAGATATTAAAATGCCAATGCTATATTCAGCAATAATTAGACAAGTAATTTCAGGACTCTAGCCTCCCTGGTATATCCAGTTGCTCCTATTTACAATTCTATCAGCTAACACAAAATTAATAATGTACCAAGAAGAACTAATCTCTATAAGCTCTTTGTACACAAAGTAATTTGCTTTTTGTATTTTAATGGGGCTGGATGATGCTTATTGTGATTAAGAGTGGTGGGGCAGGATTGTTTCAAGGATCACATCTTAATGTCCTGCTGCACATACATATCACTATGTGTCCAATCTAACTACGTAACGCTACAATGCGCACACTTCATATCGAAATCAGATAAACAACAGAGACATAGACCACGATGTCTGCTAATGGAATATCACAAACGCTTACATTTTCACATTTATTGTGCCAAACTATGCCATGTCCCTTTGAGTGATTGGAACCTTTTTGCCAGTGAAAAGATCAGGAGGGACCCCGAGGGTCGTCTAGTCCAGGGACCCTTTTTTTACAAAGAAATTTTGCTTGCTGTCAGTTTCTCTCATGAGAACCAAAATTTTACTCCCTTACATCCCCAAATTAATGCCAAAAGTTAATGCCAGATCATATATTTAAATACTACTCTGTATTGTAAAATTTTTATTTTTGATACTGTGAACTGAATGGAGACCTGGTTACACCTAGGAATGACATCAAACTACTGCTATCATTTACAGCTCAAGATATTAACAAGGGACTCTATTTCTCTTTAAAGAGAGGTATTTAGTGATTATATTTAGTCACTGAGGAAGTTGGGAGTTGGTCCTGATTAGGGAGTAGTTAGTTAGAGACAGAGTTTTGCACAGGATTGCCTACTGCTCAACAGTTAGCTTGTTGATTAGTTCTTCCCATTCATGTATATCAGTGTTTATTGAACCTATAATCACTACACTAAGGTCACTGACAGACATTCAATTAAAGGTGAGATGGGATCTGATCCACTACCCCAACAATCGCACCTCCTGCTGGGTCACACACACATGATCAGGAGACATGAGTGTGGGATCAGGGATCAGATCCCAATTGTGCCATATTGCTGGTGAAGGGGGAGCCTAGTAACTTGATCCCAGGCTCCCTGTGTACTGGCAAGTGGTGCTCCCATGGCTAGAAGTGCTGTTCAGCTGATCACAGCTTCTAGGCATGGGAGCGCATGGAGCCCTTGGCTAAAGCGTGGTCCCAGTCTCAGGAATGAACTGGAGCCCTTTGGGACTCTGGTGCTGGTCACATGTTCAATGTAAGGTGGGATGGGAACCAGCCACAAAGTTATTACATACTTTTGGTATAATAGCTTTATGGCTTATTCCCTGTGTTTTCTAGTCATCAATTGAATGACTGTGTGGCCAGGTTACTACTTAAGACATGATTAACTGGTTAATCATATCTTAAGTGTAACATCTACTAGGGACCTAATAAGTCTTCCAGTTTCTGTACCACAGGTATGCATACTTGTTTGGTTTTTCTTAACCAGTTTAGCTTCCATGATCTAATGTTTAAGAAATATACATTTAAAATGGGAGAGCTGTTGAAGACAACTACCATTCAGCTCTTCCCTCTTTAACTGTCCACACATCCTCATAGTACAATGATTTAGTCAGGTTCCTCCTTCTCTCCCCTTGTTAATTTGTATTGGATTCATTTATATTTTTGTCTCTTTCTTAAAAGCACTGTTTTGTATTCAGAATTTTTAAAAATATTCACTGTATTGCATCCACAGACATAGAAGATAATGTTTCCCCTATAGATGTTCTTCTTTACCATGTCAAAACCATGTATTTGCCTTTTGTTGTTTGTCTGGTGGACCCAGACAGAAAGGGTTAGCAGTACAGTGCCCCAAGAGAAGGGCGGTGCTGCGGTGGTCCCCAGAAAAGGGGATAGCAGCACAGTGTGCCCGTACCAGAAAGGGTAGCAGTGCGGCGGGCCTAAAGGACCGGAGACTCGCTAGGGAGTCCCATAGCGGGCTGGGTTATTTTAGAGAAGGCCCAGTGGGGGCTCCACGAGAGTCCCAGTGAGGGGCTGTATATTGGAGAGAGCCTGGGGAAGCGGGCGTGTTGACACACCAACGTCTATCACATCTGCGAGGCTTGGGGCGTGGTATTAGGGGTTGGTAGGAGCCACGCGTAGCCCATAAGGCTAGGGTACCTGGGGAGTACCCATCATACCGGGAGACCCCCAGGGTGTCCGGGAACACCCGGGGACAGAGGTCCCAGCTATCCGTGCCCAGGGAGTCGTAAGGCAGCCTCCCAACATATATTAAACAGCAAAGACGTGGCGGGCGAGAATTGAGGGTGCCCTTGGGCTGAATTGGCACGGAGAGAGGGCCTTAAGGAGATCACGGCTGTCCTATAGGACCCCACCGTGACAGTATGCAATAGGGAGTAAACCAGTGCCCTTTCAGTGCTTCTCTAACATGTCTTTAAGCACCATTCCCACAAGGGTAGGACTGGCACCTGCTTATTTGCTTCACAATCACTTTCAAAGAACCTTTGGAGAGGTCCAGCACATGAGGCACAAATAAAGGAGGAGCATTTCTGATCCCCCTTCTCTTCAGTCCTCTCCCAAAGTGGAGAGTAGAACCATTTGCCCTCCTTATTTTTGAAGTGGATTATCTTCATCTTATGGTTCCTGCTGTTCTGTTCCCTGATTTTCATGTAGTGAGCCATTTTAATGTACATATTTAGATTCTACTGACTTTACCAACCATTGCTAACTTTTGAGAGGTATTTTGGGGAGGCTGTTCCTACTTAGTTAGTACTCATCATAAATCTCATAAAGAGACTAGTCAGCTTCTGAGCCTTGGGAAGCAAAGAAAAAGGCTGAATCAGAAGTTGAGGGGGAAGAATGCTCCTGTACCAGAAGTTGAGGGGGGACCAGAAATTGAGGGGGAAGACAGCTAGTAGTCTCCTCCTGCAGCTGGATTTGCAGAAGGAGGGAGAGCAAAGGGTGTTGGAGTGGTTAAGAGGTCTAAATGGGGCACTTGAGCTATCTGCCCATCTCATCAGCAGAGACAGCTGCTTGGTGGATGCAGTTGGGTGAGATCCCTTGACTCACATGGATTGACACCCTGAGCTGTCTCTAAACTACCAATGAGAGAGCAATGGGAACAACTGCGGAGGCAAATGCTGCTTAGGATTTTAATGATTGGCTTTATTTAAAAAAGAGCATAAGAAAACAATGAAATAACTATGTAATTATTTCCCCCAGTGACATTGTAATTCTGCTGTGAACAAGTAGATCACTAGTGACATGCATCAAGCCATATAGCTTAATCTTCTCTTATGTTCATACAGAAATGTTTTGTAGTAAACTGGAAATAAAATGGAATTAAGTAGGGAAAACACATGTTTTATCTTATCCTGAGTTTCATAGGGAGCTGTAGGATCATTATATTGTGACTGCAGACCTAGTGTTGTGATAGAGGCAAAGAATGGCAGAAAGAGTTGTTGTATTTACATTATTCTTCACAGTACCTTGTCTCCTTTTCTGTTTTGGGCTGGTGAGCTGCTGCTTCCTATCTTCTGTGCACAGCTAGAGTCCCCCACCCAAAACTTGGAGTGAAATTTTTTTACAGCTTCCAAAGAAGCACTTGACTTCTTGTTATGGGAACTGGGCAGCCAAGTACTTTTACTGCTTTGAAAATCTCAGCTGGCATTTAGAGACTGGCTTTCATTTAAAAGGAACCAAAAGCAAACTGCAATCAGATGCAGGAGTTCCAGAAAGAAACCACTGCAAAGACCTCTCAGTGCAGCCATCAAGTCATCAGATCACAGCAGCTGTATTAGCAGTATATATCTGTTGAGGGAAGAAGTGAAGTACTGTATAGAGTTTCTAAGTGATATTTCAGGAGCATTTCTAGTAAGTCTCAGATAATTACCTACATTGGAAACTGGTCAGGACCCTATAGTTAACATTTTATTCTTTCTTTACGAAAAAAGACTGCATTGAAATTATTAATTAATATATTTGGTCAGGATCTGATTTTACTTCTCATCAGAAAGGTGACACTTCCAACAGCACAATGCTTCTTACCACCAAGCTAAAACACCAAATCTAGATGGGACCAGAGAGGAGAGTGCTACCTAGTGAGCGAGACAAGTTACTTTGAGTAAATGTGGTATCTTTTATTAGACCAACTAAATAGTTGGAAAAATTGTTCTTTGCAAGCTTTCCAGTACAAACATCCTTCTTCATGCAGAGGGAGAGTCTACAGTTGTACTGTGTTCTCCTGGATGGGAGAAGCCTATCTCACCCAGGAGAGCACAATACAACTGTAGACTCTCCCTCTGCCTGAAGAAGGGTGTTTACACCTGAAAGCTTGCAAAAATTTCCCCCCCCCATTATTTAGTTGGTTTAATAAAAGATATCACATTTAGCCAAAGAGCCTTGTCTGCCTACGTCCTTAGATCTATATGGATACAACCAACACCTACTCAGCTGTCAATTCTGTCTGTCATTTAGAAGTTATTAACACTTCTTGACTGGGATTGGAACCACCGCCCCATTGATTGGAGTGGCAGTATCCTCAGTGATTTCAATGGATTTTATATTATAATATCTGATTAGATCCCACTGGCTTTCACTCTGTTCTCACAGTTGGGAAGTTTACAGTTAGAATAAAAAAGAAAGTTCTCCTGGGTTCTGTTTTTGTTCTCTCAACATTGTTTGAATTCTTCTGATTATTTCCAGTTTATGCAAAACACACAGAATGGGGCTACCTGAAGGTGTATGTGACTTAAATGCCATATCACTGCAGAGAGTTACATGCACAGGATTCATATCCTCAGTGGGGGAAAAGGTGAATTATTAAACAGTTTCTTATTTGTTGCATTTAATTAAGCTAGTAATTTAAATTCTAAATCATAACAATCCTACACAAACTCCTTTGTTTTGATAGCCTCATAAAACATTTCATCCCATAATTGATTTTATATGCTGTAGGTGAAAGATGCTTGCATATGACTTAGAAAAGAATAACACCCCTTAAAAACAGAATAACTTGCAAACAGTAATACAGTCATAAAATACTAACTGTTATATATTGCTTTCCATCTTGAAGAAGGAAACGCTATTTGTAGGATGCCTATACAGGGATAATTCACCACTGAAATGGGCTCATCTGTGTGGGAACATGTTAGCAATATTCCACAAGCAACTTTAGAGTATGAAAGGACTAGCATTGCCCAACAAGCTATATGGGATATTTTTTAAGCCAGTTAAATATATGAAGGGTTTGGTGAGATCCTCAGAACTCTTACTGTAGTTAAACAAAATAATGGGTTCTTTTAAATACTCACAAATGATCAAGGTCTTGCTTCTGTTTGCTCCATCAGGCCTTCAACCATCTCAGTACCCTCAACTCTGGTTTAATACTTATTGGACATGTCTACACATGTATTTAAGCACAACTAAATTTAATGTACATGAAGCGATTTTTGGCAGGCATCTACACATGCAGGGACTTGGCACTAAAGTTAGTGCCAAGTTCCTGCAGCCCTGCAATGTGTCCCTAGAGTCTGGGCAGACCTCACACTAAAGTTAGTGCCAGGTCACGTCTACACGTGCATTAATGCACTTTAACTAATCATGTCTAAATTTGATATCTGCATATTAGGCATGATTGGCCTAATTTAACCATTTTTAATGCGTCATAAGGGTGCACACATGGAGATGTGTGCCTGTAATGTGCAATAAATTAAGCTAATGCACATTAATGCATGTCTTGTAGAAAGCGGTAGTTTACTGCACAGTAAATCTAGGCTGGAGTAAATGCATGTGTAGACATGCCCACTGAGTGCGTCTACATGTTCATTAATGCGCATTTGCAATTGCACATTGTTTAGTACCTCTAATATGAGGTACTAGATAAAGCTGCAGTAGCTGTACTAATGCACAGTAGCAAAGGTGAAGGGTTTTTTTTGTGATGCTTAATGCACAGTAGAATAATTCTACTGCACATTAGCACAGTTTTTGCTGTGATGCACTAATGCACAGTAGGACATTCCACTGTGCATTAAGGTGTCCCGTGTAGACGCACCAACTGAGAAGGAAGAATGCTTTATACTTTATTTATGAAGCACCTGTATTTTTGGAGGTCTCCCATCCAGTTCAGTCCCAACTCTACTTAGAGTATAAGATCTAATGGAACCATTATTTGGGATAGTAAGGCTGGAGACAACAAAACACAGCCATGAAATGCACTTCCACTATCTGTTAAACAACAGATATTCTTAACTGTTTGAGCAGGTCTTGAAGCTGACAGTCTTTCTGTGGGACTATTACATTGATAAAGTTTCCAGTCTTTTTGACTATTAGGGCATCATCTTTACCAGGAATCTCTTTCCCATCTCTACTTGACTCAGATCGATTACACTCAGGAATGCGAACAGATTCTTCACTGTGAAGATATAAAATATAAGAAGAGGCTTTTAAACTATATGTTGGGGAAAAAAAAAAAAAACGATTCAGCAAAAGGGAAACAAAAGAGTGAGAGATGAAAAAAAATAAATGCAATTGTCTAACATTTCCATGTACTTGTTTCCTTTTCAATTCTCTCTTATTCAGTGACTGTATGACTTTTAAGGAAAAAAATATCTAACAAGCCAATACAAGTTAAAAAAAAAAAGGCAAGGACAAAAAACAGCCTGCAGAACACAAACAGGCTGACAAACAAACTACAGGCATTGAGACATTTTGAACAAAAACATGTGAATGACTGGTACTGACATTATTTAAGCAGCAAGAATCCCTGAACAAGTATTGTGCAGAGCTATAATCACAAGCCTTATGTGCCTGAACAAGTGCTGTTAAGCACAAAGGGAACATAATGCTGTGTACCTGTTTCCTTGAGTGCCCTTATGCAATGGATGAGTGCACCTGTGGTACATAACTCAGTAAAGCCAAAGGCACATTTGGGTGACATGCTGTATTCAGGTTACATTTATAAATAATTTATGAAAAACTTAATAAACATATATTTTAATAAAAGTTCAATCAATTTGCTATAGATAGCAATAGTCAATATTTTTTTATTACTGCAGTTCATAATCGTCTATAATACCATCTATAATGTGCTTACAGTTATCCATGACATATGCAACTACTGTGTAACTCAATTATGACATTAATTATATATTGAAAATGTTATCCAGAAAACAAAATTTCTAGCCTGTGGGAAATTGTAACATTTTAAAATGTTTTATCACAAATTGTGAGGAGAAAAAAAGCTGAGCCCTCAGAATATTTCATGCAATAAAAGTCGCCTGAAAATTTCCATTCAACATCCAAATGACTATTGGAAAACATTTATTTCAATAATATTGAGAAAATAAAATTGAAAAGATGTCAGAAATGAAACAAAATAAAGAAGTCTAAATGACATAAAAGAAAAAGAATATGGAACAAAAGAAAATGAGAAAATTGAAAAGAAATAAAATGGAGAAAAATCAAAATGAGCTTTCTATTTTGAACTATTTTGAAACTTTTCCTTCCAGATCAACATGTGACTACCAAACTTTTTGATTTAGATAAAATGGCATTTTCTGACAGAAACTAGCTCTATCGCAATTTTTAGACTGGCTGTATTTATTAACCTTTGATAAGCTATTTATTAATGTAACCCATAACATAAAATATGACCTGAATTTTGAAAAAAATCAGTTTTTGATCACTTGACAGCTAGATAAGAACATGATGGCATCAGACTGCAACCCTCCATTGGGTGGGTATCTTGGTTCTTTTCCCAAGAGCCGCCCTGTATTATGACAACATCACAAATGACAAGTGGTTCCAATCACTTAAATGGACACGGTGTATTTTTGCAAATCAAACAGAACACAGAAATCAGCGTCGGCCAAGCTTTGTCTTTTGTTGGACACACTGTATGGGATGCACAATCACTACAGATTGAGGATCTGGGCTGGAATTGTCCCAGGGCTGCTCCTCTTGTTCACAGACATATTATACTGTCCCAAGGACACTCACTGTTTGCTTACCTGCTCATTGTAGCTCTCCCACCATTGCCCATACTCCCTTTTGGGGTGAAACACTCTATTTCCGACTTGTGCTGGGCCAGTCTCCTGCCTTTGTACCTAATAAATCACGACAACAACAGGAGCAAACAGAAAGAAGTGATTGTGTGCTCAGCTGTCACCCCATGCTACAGCTGCTGTGCAGAGGGCCATGCACAAGAATGTGGCTAATTACAGCGGTGGACAAAGCACCAAGCTGCCTTGAGAGTACTGGAGAAGCCAGATAAAGATGCTAGACCTGTGCCAAGGTAAGCAGGATGCACAGTTACTGTATGGGATTTGTATAGGAGGGGAGATCCAGGGACACAAAACTGAAAATCGATTGCCGACATATCCCAAACTCCCAGTCCTTGCTCGTCATCTCCTTCTAACCCAATACATTCTTCACCTCTCTAGCACTTGCCTTAACTAACCAGGACTACTGTTTGAATTCATTTCCAGCCGAATTGACTAACAGAAACTTTTACAGAACACGTGTGCGCCACAGTGGGTTGAATCATTTGGTATTCCAGGGTTTCATTCATCCTTGTGCCCAAGACCAATTACAGACCTATCCAACAATTAAGCCTTTGTACCCATGTTAACAGGAGACTTAAGTGTTGCATAAGTCTTTTTTAGCTCTCTGCACAGTAATGAATCCCATCCTAGTTTCATAATTCAAATACCCATTTAAATGCCTGAATGTGGGGTTCAGACAAGATGCCTGTATTAAAAACTAGGCCCCTTCCTTTTAAATGATTACTTGTGATATTCCATTCACAGCTCAATGATCTGTGTCATTGGTATTTAGTAAAAGTCTTAAAAGAAAAATCTGTTTGTTTTCATGCCAGGTATCAGGATCTTCTTCTTCCCTCACTTGTCCTGTCAAAACGGGGTCATTGTTGCGGATCTTGGCTCTCCACCAGCTTCAGTCATATGTATTTTAGGTAACAGGGTAGAATAACTAAATTGCTATTTTTTTTTACTTATTAATCTAAGCCAGCTAGCAAGAGATACATCTGAAGCAACTGCCTGAGAACAAATAGGGGAAAAGAAGAGGTGTACCTTGAGTGCAGTTGTAACAGGCAGTGGGTAGGCAAATTGTGGCATAGTCAGTAGCAGCGGTAAGAACTCATGAATACAGAGCAGCTAAGAAATTAGCCTAGCAGTGAATTGCAAAGTGAGATGTGCTCAGTGTAGCAAAATCCCTTCTCATCTAAAGGGCCTAACAATCTATAAGGAAGAAGCAGCAGCTGCTGAAAAGAGTGGCTACCAATGATGCCAAGGCAATCCATTGTGGTGCATGTGCAGTGCTCCCGATTGTGAATAAAGCCCATGCAGAATACATACTTCTTCAGTGCAAGTAGATTCCTAGAGTGGAGGAGAAAATGAAGGGGCCTGAAGTGCAGTTGGAAACACTGAAAAATATAAAAGATGTCAAACTGCATTACACAGGTACACTTGGCAGAGTGACCAAAGAAAAAAAAAAGAAAGATGAGAAGAAAAAAAGGAAGGAAGTGTAGGGATTGTATAGGAGAGAGAGAAAGTAACAAGAGAAGGAGGAATGTGATGTAAAAGAAGAAAGGGAGTAACAGAAGTAGTAAGGAAACAGCCAAATTGAATTTTAACATTTAAAAAGGGGATTTTACTCCCAACAAGAGCAAAAGAGGAAAAGATCAAGGGTAGCCCGCTAGGGTTGGGGTCCCAGCTATTGTATATGAGCTGAATATAGAGAAGTAGCCAACAAAGGAAAAGAAAAGATACATCATCTCGATTGCTGACTCCAGTGGAAACAAAGCAGTGACTCAATTAGAAACCAGTCTAGGCCAGAACACTTGTGGCCCAGATAAAGAAAACAAGACAATTTCCTGTTTCTCAGGGCCCAAAATAAACGATGTCACGGACAAGATAACGGACCTCAGAAGGATTGCTGGAGATTTCTCAGTGCTCACACTCCACTTGAGAACAAAAGACACCGTTGAAAGGAGACTTCATGTGACTGAAAGACCTGAAATAGAGTTTCTGCCATATGGTTGTTTTAACAGATTTAATTTTTCTTATGTATCCATGCAGTTATGAAACTACATACTTCCCTGTAACCAATCCCCCCAAATGCTCTGCATGTTACAGTGGAGAAAGCCACCAAAGAACACATAACGTATGTGAATCTCTGCCTCGAGGGAGCCTGCATACTCTACTCAGAGGAGCAAACCAGAATCTATGAAACACAGGGTTTACTGTGCTCAGGGAAGGTCGGGGAGGTGAGGCATGACTTCGCTCCCAATTGTCTTCACTTTGAAAACCTGAAAAGGGTTTTGTTTCCTTCTTGATTGTTAAGTGCAAAAAGATTTTTTGAAATATTAAAACTGGAAAAAGTCACTTGCTGAAGAATTAACAAATTCTAATTACAAATGATTTTGCACTTTAGATCATCATACAGAAGAGACACAAGTCAACTTCACTTCAGCATTTTTTTAAAAGATTTTTTCCCCCTTTTTATACAAGCACTTTACCTATAGGAAGTCATTAGCTGTGGCTGTACACCAAGCCCACTTAGCCAGCAGAAAAAGGCAGAGGAGAAAAATTGCCCATATGTGGAGGGTTAGCATCAGGGCTATAAACCAGAGAAACTCTACGTTAGGTGGGCCCTTTGCTATTTATTTGCACAGGATGAATAACATTCAGAGAAATGAGTGCACTGAATACAGTAATATGCATTGGTCTATTTGCAGAATCTTCCTTGACATCAGTGCAGCATATTTAGCAGTGATCTCCACATTGTATGGGTCATCAATAGAGCAGCACAGAGAAAAGAATTCATTTGCAAACTGAAAGAAAGTCTGACACTACAGCTTGAGCTCCTGACATGCTTATATGGTATTTTATAATGGTATTAGATAGAAAACACTAATTTGGATGTCAAGTTTTAAGAAACTACCAGACCTTAACCTACAGTCCCATCTTAGACATATTTCTTATGGAAGAGTAACAATCATCCAGCCAATGGGAAACAAAGGGACATCTTGGAACTGCCATCCTGGATCAGACTGATGGTCATCTAGTTTTGTCATTGACAAAATGATGCTTTAGAGGAAGGTGCAAAAAATGTTAGGGTCAGCAGTTTTGAGACAATCTGCTTCATGGGAAAATTGACTCCTAACCTGCAAGAATTAGAAACTGGTGTATGCCCTGAAGTGTGAATGTTTGCCCTCTCTTCCAGAAATGTCTATATGTAAATTCTCTCTCTCACCTTCCTTCTGTGTGTTTGTGTGTATAATTACAATGTATCCTTACAGATTAATTATACAATGATTAATTGCATTTAATAGAAATAATAATCAATTGAGCATTATGCATATATATATATGCATATTGACATGAACATATATAAATACGTATATGTATGTGTGTGTGTGTTTATAAGAAAAACAACTTCAGCTATTTTCATAGATTTCATAGACATCAGGGCTGGAAGGGACCTCAGAAGATCATCGAGTCCAGCCCCCCGCCCAAAGGGCAGGAAGTCAGCTGGGGTCATAGGATCCCAGCAAGATAAGCATCCAGTTTCATCCTGAAGGTGTTCAATGAAGGCGCTTGAACCACCTCCGGTGGCAGGCTGTTCCAGACCTTGGGGGCTCGGACAGTAAAGAAGTTCTTCCTTATGTCCAGCCTGAAACGATCTTAATTTACATCAATGTTTAATCTATTTGTGGATACTTTTAAGTTCTTGATCTCATTGATTTCTTGTACAAGTGGGTTCTGGAGGTGAATTCTGCACCATATAAAAAAGTGTTTTCATTCATCTGCTGCAATTTGCTACTTCTACATTTCACATAATGCCCTTTGGCTTTTGTATTATGAAAAAGGGTAAATAGAAGATCTTCCCTGTAGTATTCATTATTTTACATAATTCATTATTCCTCTCTTAGCCATTGCCTCGCTAAAGAGAGCAGTTTCCATTTTTGCTCATATGGAGGTGTTTTCATGCCTACAAGTCCTTATCCTCACTCTTTGAACCTCTTTGCTTAAGGACTGTGGGAGGGTCTGTGGGATTTATTCCATTGTTTTTGCACCACAAAGCAAGGATACTCTATTGTGAGAGATGGAAAACTGATGTAAATATCTATTTCAAATAGATCCTCCACTGCTTTACAGGAATTTTGTTATTATTTATTTAATGTCAACAGCATGAGAGACCCCATTTAATCACAGAGAAAAGACAGCATCTCTGATCATTGGGGTTTTCCAGCTCCAGGCAGAAGTAATGTAACCCAAAGGGATGGAAAACATGAGATTTCAACTACAGCAATAAAGCAAAAAGATGATACGGGGCTAGATCTGGCCCCAGGGTTAAGGCTATGTCCACACTGAGGACATGTTAGCCATTTCTCTCAGAAAAATGAGTAGGAAATGCTGCCACTTCATAATCAACCATTGTATACTTGGAGCACTTACCTTTGATAGGGAAGACCTAGGTTCAAACCCTTCTTCCTCCTTTGCCTGATTGGAGCAGGGATTTTAACTTTGTTATCTGCACCTCCCACCTCTCACTAATCTTCAGGGAATTCTTAGGTAGGACTCTCAACATCCCTTATGAAACCCATTCGACTCTGTACAAAATACTTTGAATTCTTTGTCACTGTATTCACTGTCATTGTATTTCTTTGGCATCCAAGTGAGCACTCTCATCACAAGGTGAGAGAGAGAGAGAGGGCATTTTAATCACTCTTTGGCCCAATTAATCCCCTGAGAGTTTAGCTCCTGATGTGTCCAACGGAACAAATGTAGACACAAATGTATCACTTCAAGGTGGAAAGGTAGTTTTGGGGTTATGTCTCAGATGAAGATTTAAAGCTTGGATTTAGCTGCCGCATGGAACAGGAAGGCTTCTAGGTCTCTCAGTGGATGTAGTCCCAGGCCCATTCTTTGTAGGACTATACAAACGGATTAAAATGCATCCTTTTCACCAAATGACCCTGCTCTGACCTTTCCTAGAACTGAAGTTTGAAAAAATGGATTAATCTATATTTGATTTTATAAAAAATCTTAATTCAGGTTAGGTTGAAACAAAAGATGCTATA